GTCTAATTCCATTTTGATTTACGATCATCATGATTACTAGTTTTAAACATAACAATTTGTACATATTTATTTAATATATTATTATAAATATACTCATATTATATTTATTTATTTTAATTATGAATATTTGTCAAATAAATTTATAAGCGCAGACCCACACAGCTCGCTTTCGGGATCACGACTAACAGTGCGGAGGAACAGCCTCGTCGTTTATATGCTATCGCTCTCTCACAACATTCAACTCAGCTCAAAACTGTTTGACGCGGCTCGATTGAAACTCTCTTAGGCTAAGGACAGAGCGTGTTCTTGTCCAATGGTATAAAAAAAGAGATGTTCATATACATATGTATATGTATTTATATATGTATATAATGTAAATATGAATTTGAATGCATATACATATATGTGTATATATTTCTTTTTATTAACAGAGAATATTTAACTTTCTACAGCTTTCTGTTTACTTAACATCAGTACATTAGATCTCTATGTTAAGTTGATCTGTTAATAACAGCAGACGGGCTGAGTTGCGTCGCTGTTTTAGGCATGTCTGGCAAATGAATATTAATTAATAAATAATTAATTTAAATTTATTTGTATATATTTTTTGTAAGTAATAGAAGTAATTCTTCAATCTACATTGACTATTTACCATAAATATGCATTGCTTATCTTGTTTTTCGAACAGCATTTTGTTTTAGTGTCATGATTGGCTAATTGAATACGATTTTCAAATCTTGAAAATTCTCTACACGCGCCAGTGTGCATCGCTAGCAGAAGGAAAGCCACATCCTTTCAATTCGGCTTGACTGCATTTGTAAATTTGTAGCCAGCGAAGGGGCAGAGGCAACGATTACTGCATTGCTATCGATGTTTCTATGTGTGTGTGTGTGTGTATGTGTGTGTAGAAATGTGGAAAATACTGTTGAACACACAGTAAAAGCAACTTGTGCAACTTTTCTCCCCTCACACACACACACGCACACACAACACATGCACTCATGTCATATACAATGCAATGCTTTACTGTGATTTTTGAAATGCGCTCAGAAAAGGGTCCATAAAATGCCAATGGCAATAAAGTTGACTGAATCATTTGAAATGCCAAAATTGCATGCCAATTGAAGGGTCATAAACGAAATCGAGCCAAACAGCATCAGAATATATAAGTGAAAAAAACGTTATTTCTTTTAAAGAGCAACCTGACTTAAATTGTCAAATAAATTCACAAAGTTATCTTGATCAGAAATACTTAAAAATTCAAAAATATTGACAACCAATTGTAAAATTATATTTAATAAAAAATAATGAAATATCCAATAAATGCAGTCCCAAGTATTTACTACTAAAACAACTAAACAGTCCTTAAAAATTACATTTAAGGCCATCAAAAGTCGAGCTCAGAGCTGTCAGACCATAAAAGTGTATTTAATATTCAGTTTTTGCGACTCTTGCATTCGTATTGCTGTGTCCTCAATATCCTTGATCCACTTTTATATTTTATTGAAAAAAAAAAAGGAATGAACGAAGTCAGCCCAAAGCCACAGAAATTAGCTTCTGGGCCATATGCCGGTTAATATGTAAAATAACAAACATATGCTCCAGCTGGCTCTCATAGAACAACAACAATAGCTCAGAGCGATCTCTAGCCTGGGTCCGTTGTCCTGGTCCCATCCAGCCGTGGCCCATGCCAGGGATTAGATTTTTATATGACCTACACCGCAAAAGCCTTTGGGCTTTCAAATACAAATCCATCGCAATGGTTTTATGAGTTCATAAAATTGGCGTGCTCTATGTAGGTGTTGACACTGGTCGCTTTTCTTTTTTATTTTATCTCTTTCTCTTCCTCTGGCGCCTAGTGTGGGAAATTGAAATTGTGAATTTACTTCTTTGCTGAATTCTTTATGTGAGAAGTAGAGAGAGAGAGAGAGAGAGAGAGAGAGAGAGAGAGAGAGAGAGAGGGAATATGAATAAATCTGTATGTGCTAGCAATGCATTAAAGCTCCCAGTCCCATAATCGTAACTTGATTAGAAATACGATACGGACCAGTCCAAAAATTTAAGGCCAATACGCACAAAAAAGAGAAAGAGAGAGGGAGAGAGTCATACAGACAGTGAGACGCACAGAAGGCATATAAAAACTTTAT